TAGGGACAGATCTGGCTTCATGTGATTGTTATGTGCTGTCAAGCAGTCTTTGATTTAAGGTGACTTTATAAATGCTCCATGTGATATCTGACAGTATATAATTCCACTTGCATAGTGGGTGGGAAATTTACTAGCTTATACTTGGGATTCCAACATGGTTCCCATGGGCTTCAATATGCCCATACATGTCTCTTTTTTATTTTTCCAAGCACCTAATATATTTTTTCTCTTTCTTTTTTTACTGGGGGGCTAGCATGCCAAAAAGTGAAGTGTTGTCCTCCAGAACCATGCTTGTATTCAAAGGCCGTTTTCTACTTTAGAGCACAGACTCCATCTCTAGCTTGTACCAAGGTTCTTGGACTGATTACTTTTTCTTTTGGCCTCATCAGTTTGCCTTCTTGGAAATGAATGCTTTGCGGCAGGTTCTAACTACCATTAATGGATAAGCCCTTGCCTCCATGCCCACCATTTTATGAATGGGCAAGCTTTTCATGGCAGCCATTTTGTGAGATCACCCACTATATTCTCTCAAAATTTCCAAAAGCCTGGGAACGCCTGATCTAGAAAGCTATGAAGAAGTGCCCTGAGTGAAAAGAAAGAAATTGTATCCAACGTAATAGCTCATTACATTCCCTATTATCTTTCATTCTGTCCCATTCGATTCATTCACTCACATGTCCTACACCTTCCAGTGCCCACTCCAGTTTCAGGCCTTTGATGCAAGCCCCACAATCCCTCAGTAAGTCAACCTCTTCACCACTGCCACTATATGCTATTTCTCCTCATCTTCTTTCTTGTCATTACTACCAATTGCTTGTGCGATGGCAAGAAAGACTGTAGGATGTGAGAGAGCAAGTAGGAAGCAGCATCCGCTGCTCTTCCTGCGCTGCCACTGTTCCCTGGGTCACAATGACAGGCAGGTGAACAAGCAGGCTGAATAGGAAACAAGAACAACTCCAAGGGGATCTTACCAATGGGCTCCTGTTGTCTGTGGGCCCCTGGCAAATGTCTGAGCTCATTTACTTACCCTTGGTGCTCCCCTTAACACATTCCATATTCTCTCCATTTTATATATTGAACGAAGTGGTTGTTGCCTATGCAGGCTCCTAACATTACATGGTATACTTTGGCACCAATTGAGTTTAAGCTAGGAAAGCCTGAAGTCCTAAATTAGGGTTAGGGGTGCAACAAACTAATCTGACTGCTTGTCACAAGTAACTCTAGCTGGATCCAGACCCTTGCTTTTTTTTTACCACAACAGATGTGACATGTTTTTCTTCCATAATGTGTATAAAATGGAAGAGTTTATTCAAAGGGTTTATTCATGTTTTGTCTTGCTTGGAAGGAGGATGGAAGACAATGTGATAAATAATTGATTTCTATTTCTCTCTGCTCCCAGGATTTGTTATAGCTTCTCACCTTAATAACTTCAATTACTCTTTATCTTAACCTGCTTCATTTCATGCATATGAAAAAGCAGTTTGTTGTCTTTTGACTGCTGCTGGTTATTTTCCCACAAACAACCTTGACTCTGTGTTATTTGCCTAGCTACCTTTGGTCCTTTAATTACTTAGTAATTAAGTTTACTCTGGGAGATCTACCCAAACCATTTCATCAATAACTGCATCTTCATCATGACAAAGAGAGAAGCTATAACACACTTATACATGTGCATACATTTTTGCAAAACTATACAATCATACATTACAGAAAGAAAACACACATTTGGTTTCATATGACTCTACAGTAAGGGAACTGTAAGATTAAAACAAAGGCCTCCTGATAGGGCATTGCCTTGTAATTCTCTTCACTCAGATCAGACAGACTATTAACACAGCCACAATCCTATGACTTCATTTGTAATGCCTTCATTTGTAATGTCCTGCAACTGCTCTTCTTTTCATTGTTTTCGTTAATCTAATTGTGTTCAAAACATTTAGGAAAGAAGGATTTTCAGACAAACAGCTAGCTGTGCAGAATTGTCACTTAAAGCCTGTTATTTATTCATTAATTCCAGACTACAAGACAGCATTTTTTGATCTTTAAATTGGGTAAACATAATGCTCTACACTTCAGACAAACATGCTGTAGCAGCTTCCCATTAAATAGAGATCACTGTTGAAGAAGAGCAGAACAGGAGTGATGGGGTGGTACATCAGCTCATGAGTAATGCATGTTAAGACCAAAGAATAAATGAAGAGACTGCGATATCAGATTCTGAGACAGATTGGTGCTTCATAGATACACACATTGTTTTAGATAGTACTCGGCTAGTTTTACCACTGGTGTAATGCAGAGATGCCCACCAGCTTCTAATTGTTTTAGCTGTAACCTTCAGCAATGAGAAGCCCATTCAGAGAAATGGAATTCATAGATTTTGATGCGATATGCTACACCTAATTTGGACAACTTATCAATACCACTAGAAGGGAAAAGGAGAAGATAAGAGAATGAATAAGGCACTGGGCAGCTTGCCACATGGCTGGTCACATGGACGGGGTTCTGTGATGCAACAGCCCACATCCAAGTTTGAGTGTAGGCTGTTCTTGAACTGTGGGTTGTAAAACCAGCTGAGCTAATAAACTACGATTTGTTAAGCATGACCAACCCACAGCTCACAACCCAACAATAAACTATGAATTCTATTTGTGGGTTGTAGTTAACAAACCATGGTGTTTGTGTATCTTAGTTCATACAACACATGCTCAATAATATGTTCAACAATAACCCACCAACCCAACTTCTTGAATAGAAAAAGGTGTGATCTGTTAGGGACACAGAAATTGCTTCTTACAGCTTTGTGTGTTTCAGAGTCAATATAAAATACTGGGAAGAAGTAGATGGGACTGGCCTTCATTTTAATAGCATTTAATTTTTTAAAATGCCAATTCAGATGCTAAGTTGCTTACAAGAAAATCTAATTCATATTAAAAAATATTTTCCAAAGTATTTATTTAAAAGACCAGAATAAAGCTAAGCCAATGCCAAGTTTCACATTTGTAGCAAGGTTACTCAGAGCAAAGGAGATTTCATTGGTGCCCCTGAAGGGGTCAGTTTGAGATTTATTTATTCCTGTGGAGGATATTTTATTACTTCTCTAATCCTTCCATTAGTTTTTGGCTTGAAGGCTAGTGCATCCTTTTTCAGATATAAGTCCCACTGTGTTCAGTTTAAGTCCTAAAAGGAATTGAGTGCTTTGCAACCAATCAGACTGCTGGCCACAAGTAACTTTAACTGGTTCCAGGCCCTTTCTTAGGTAAGCAGGCGCAGGATTGAAGATTTATTCATATTTTAAAGCTTAGGACAGGAAAATAGCAAATATAAAAACCCTTTATAATTGACTGAACACTGGAAATGATACAAAACCACCAATTTCAATCAAAGTCAAAACATATGCCCAAATAGAAATGTCTTACAGTACTTCCAAATTATGCTCAGATTCAGAATTCGGTAATCCACTAGGTGGAGAGAGTTTTAATATGAACTCACAGTGTAATTCAAAGCTGGCAAATAGAGTGAAAGAGCATCCCCATGGTTAAAAGAGCTTCCTTCTGGAGAGCTTGTTCAGCTATTATTGTCACAAACATGTTTGGGAAAAGTGCAAATGTTTGGCCATTCTATGAAACTCTCAGCACACCAGCTTTGCCTAATGTTACCAGAACTTGAAGGAAAGCAGCATGCAGCATTTATTTTTCAAAGAACACCGTGTGAGGCTGCCTATGAGCACTTCTGCCACATTGCACACTACTCCGCGCTACTCCTCGAAGTTCCAAATCAGCCTTCCCAATCTCATGCCCTCCAGATGGGTTGAACTGCTACTCCCATTATTCCCAGTCAGTATGGCCAGATGACTGATGCAGTGCAATACATCTGAAGGTTGGGGAACATTTATCTAGGCATCTAAGTGATGTTCATGTTTAGACCTTCAAACAGGTGAGAGAATTTCACGAGGTCATTCACACTAGCACAGTGATCAAAGACATAGAAGTTTTCCCTAAAAAGTCAGGATATACATTTCAACATAGGCACTAGTAGGGCAATCTAGTTCCCAAGTAAGTTAGAGAGACTGTGCCTGTCAGATGCACCCTAAGCAGAAACATTCCAGGATTAAGTCTAAATTTAGTACCATTAAACACATATATACTGCTGGCAGTATGCAAATTGTTGTGCAGAACACCAGCAGTGACATAACAACCTGCTACCTGCATATCAGAGCTCCACCAAGCAAATATAATGTGATACACTGTGCTCCCTGGGAATTGATACCTGTATCTCACATAAACATCTCACATTTCTAAAGTTGAGTTCATCTGGCCTAAGCACTTCTCCGCCAGTTCGTACTAAAAAAGTAGCCTGATTATATAGAGGTACAGGTATGCCAAGGCTATGTACACTGCAAAGGAGCAAGCTGCCGAGCAGCACAGCCTTCTCACTGATCCCAGAGATAGGCACTGAGATGGGAGAATGAGCCCTTTCCCGACATAAGCATTATTAAAGGGTGTTTATGAGAAATACTGAGTATATGCTCTCTTAATCCTTTTACTCAGAATTTCGACCAGAAGAGGCAGTAAGGAATCTTTCGTTAAATCCTTACTGGCTCTTAAGTAACAATACAGCAGGGAATGCCTCTGAGCAGGTGCAGAATGCTTTTTCTTAACATCATCAAAATGCCCAAAGCCTGTCAGGGCACTTTTGCTCTTATCAATGAAGGATTTAATCCGAAATCATGCTCTCTTGAGCTCCACCCCAGAATGTCAGCCGTGGAGTAACTATTAATAAAGAAGTAAGTGCATCTAAGCATGTGCAGAGTTATCCTCGTTCACCACGGCTAGACCCTCCATTTCCGGGATTAGATGGTTAGGGGCTTCTAGATGACAGATCATGTCTAAACGCAGAACCCGTGCGTGCGTGTGCAAGAAAGGAAGTCCCTCGGTGTCGAGGGGCGCTGCAGGCACAGAAGCCCTTTCAGAGGCCTCGGGGAAAAGGGGGCTCTCACTTACCGGGACCTCTGGAGCTCGAAGGCGCTGGAGCCCATCTGGCCTTGCTCCAGGCAGCAATAGTTCTGCGGGACGGCTCTGGCGAAGGAGACGGGCAAAATTCCCTGAGTGAAAGAGTTGAGACGACCCCTCGCGCCGCTCGCAGACGGGGGCCCAGAGGAACCCGGGAAGGCGGAGGAAAGCGGCACCTGCACGCTTGCAAAGGCATCTTCGTCCTCATCCTCGACGTCGTCTTCCTGCCGCGGCTCGCCCGCCGCTCCCAGGGGGCTCATGAACCTGGCGCTGCAACTGCTGCTGCAGGGGTAAACCCCGTGTAGCTGCTGCAGGGCGGGAGGCTGGGAAGCGCCTGCGAGGCTGTAGTGAGTCCTAGCGCTGCCGCTGCTGTTACTGCAGGCTGTAGCTGAAGCCGCCCTCGCCGCCGCCTCTGCAGCGGCAGCAGCGCCTCCGCCGCCGCCCTCGTCGTCCTGCAGCACCGGCCGCCCGTCTAGCGAGATATTGGTCAGAAAGGAGAGCGCTGCCTGCCTGCGCCGGGGGTCCATGCGCGGCGGCGGCGGCGGCGGCTTCCTCGGGCAGGGCTCCAGCTGCGGCTGGTGGAATGTGCCGCCCCCGCCGCCGCTGTTGGCACTACCAGGACTGCTGCTGTTGCTGCTTCTGGCGACGGCAGCAGGAGCAGGCGCCGCGGCCGTCGCCGCCATTGTCTGTCGCTCCCGGCCGCCGTCTCTCCCACCCTCGGAGTGGGCAAGAATGATAATGCTGGCGGTAGGCACGACCTAATCTCGGGCGGCGGGTTAGCAGCGGGCTGCGAGGCGAGGGAGCCGTCGTCGCCGCGGGAAGGAAAAAGGGAGTTTGGGCTTGCATGGCATGTTTTCCTCCTCCGTCTTGGCCGCCTGCATGGAGAGCGCGCCCGACTTTGTACACCCCCCCCACCTCGAATCTCTTCCTTCTTTCCTTCCTTCCCCTCCTCTTGCTCCTGCCTTTCTTTTCCCCCCGCTGCTTGCTCTTCTTGGCTAAAGTTATTAGTATTTATAGGTGCACTCGCCCCGCTTAAGCGCTCGGTGCAACAACACAGCAATCACGTGTGGAAATTACAGAGCTGGGGAGAAAAACAAAAGCTCCAGCCAGGAGGAGGAGGAGGTAGAAGAAGAAAGAGGAGGGGAAAAAAGAGAGAGGAGGAGGAGGAGGAGGAGGAAGCTGGAGCTAAGGAAGCTCCTTCAGCCTTTCTGTTTTTTTCCTTTTTTTCCTGTGTGCATAGTGGGAGGGGAACTGGCGAAGGTGGAGTCTTGTCTGTGTTGTGCCACTGCACAGCACATGGTCTTGAGAAGGTTACATAAAAAAGGCAGGCACCAAGAAGTTAAGGGGGTGTAAACGCTCCTAAATACCTGATAGGCCTCTTCGGTTTCCCCCTAACATCACAGTGCCCAAAACTACTTGGACATGCTGCACAGCACATTTTTCTCTTTGGCAGAACGGACCCACTTGTGTTCAGCTCCCACTTGGAGCATGAAGCTAGGGTTGTTCAAAATCACTAAAGAATGAAGCTCCCTTTTCCCGTTAATTGGCACCCATTTAGAACTACATGGGCATTATTCTTTTCAAATGACTATAGCTCCATTAAATCTCTTAGGCAAAGTTCGTCATTCTTGAAAAGTTGATCTTCCTCAAAACAAGGCATATATCAATATAATTTAAGAGTTCAGGAGAATTGAAAGTGCCTGGAAGTGTAAACAAAATGACAGCAGAAATTATTGGAAATGGTTTCTTAAAAGACATCTGAGTGCTGTTCCATTCATTTTTTGCATTAGCTCAAGCACCATTTTTATGTGTATACTGCTCCCTTTTAGTAGAACATGAAACTTTATAATGGCAGAATATTATTTATTTATTAGATTTATATCCTACTTTATTTTTCATCCAAGGAATCAAAGCTGCCCAACAGGATCCTCCCCCTCTTCATTTAATCCTCACAACAACCATGCAAGGTAGGTTAAGCTGAGACTGACCTAAAGAAATCCAATAAGATTCATGGCCAAATAGGGATAGAACCCAGACCTACTGAGTCCCAGTTCAACATGCTAAACATGCTGACTCTAGTTGAATGGATTTCTGAAATACAAAATAAGCAAATAGTTTTGAAGGGTTTTTTTTCCAGTAAGGTATGTGCGATTTACAATTTACTTATCTGCCATTGGGAAAGCATACTTTGGGGGTTTCCTTCAAACATGTCTTGAGAACCATCAGAACCCTTCCAAGATCAATTTCTGTTCTAGTCTGTAACAACAGAGCATATATCTTGCATGCAGGAAGCTAGAAAGACGAGTGATCTGACTCAGAAAAAGGTAGTTTCATGTTTTGTTAGTCCCAGTATATTTCAGAAGCAGAAATTACTTACAGAAAGCGTGCATTGCTTCATGCAAGGTTTTAACCCATGAGGATTAGTGACACATTCCAGTGAAGCTGGGCAATACCCATGCTACTTTTATAACTATGGGCCTTTGAAATACATAGCTATCACACTTTCAACAGCAGTATTAATGACAAACATGACTATTCATTTCCGTACAAGAGAATTGTGCTTTTTATCGTATCATAGAAACACAAAATTGGTCTCACTTGTCTCGTGTGAAAACCAACCAAGCTCCTGTTTCTGATAGTTTAAGAGCGGTTGTTGAGAACTGCAGGCAAGCTGCCACGTGTGTGGTAACTGTTTTTCAAACATTCCTGCTTGCCTCTCTGCAGCCTCCCACACCCTCCAGCTTTTAACTGTATACTTTAATGGAATACCTCCATCCTTTTACAGTGTAAAGCTCTGCAATTACCATGTGTCCCACGTATGTAAGATGAACATGCCAAGGATGAGAATTCCATTAACTTTGCCAAGTTTTTATAAACATAGAGCTTTGAAGATCAGCAGTGCACAAAACATGATTAGTATGTTGCTTGGACTTCCCCTCTTATTTTCTGTCTACACTGTATGATGTCAAAATTGTATGACAGATTCAGTGCATGGGAGAAGAGGTGGCAAAAAGAATATTTACTGGTCTTGCACTGCTTCAGTCACTCATTCTTACCTTGCACTTAACAATTGTCAGCACCTAAAATGCATTTTTAACTAGAATGTGCATGTTTTCCTCATTCACATGTCACCATTGCCAGGCCCTGTGAACAATTCATTTCTCCAAAATGTTTCTGTTGCCATCACAACAATCCAGTGTTTGGGCAGGTATCTGTGTAAAGCTGTGATGCCTTCTGAATACAAAACATGAGCCTTTGCCATTGTTGATCACACCTCTAAGTCTTTTTAAGCTGCCATCATTTCCCCTTTTGAACTAAACATTTCATTTATTAAATATTCTAATTGCCATCATAACATGACTCAGAAAATGGCATTACAGTTTTAATCTACTGTAGCTTTACCATGTTCGTGGTCTTAGGAGTAGGAAAATTCTCTGGGCCAGCTGACATGCTTGACATAGTTTGCTTACATGAAGGTCTAAGAAGCTTAAAAAGAACAATGATTAAAATTTAATGTCAAAACCTAAAGTGAGGCAACACACTAAGCTGCCTTCTAAAATCTTACCACACTAGGGAGTCTGCAGCTTGATTACAAAGGTATTGAACAGGATCGGGAAAGAGCTTCACTTTACATTGAAACTGCAAGACCCCACAAGTGAAATGACTCCATGGATGGCGGACTTTGTTAATTGTAGCTCAGTGCTCAAGAGCATTGTCCTCATGCTCTTCTTCTGCAGTGTTCAGTCTCTGTCATCACCACCTGGAACTAGGAAAGATTTGTGTCTGTCCTGTGAAAGCTGAGGCAGGGGGACCCAAGAGAGGTTCACCTGGCACCCTCTTTATCCTCTTTCCAATGCCAGGTGAAGACCTTTTTATTTTCTCCATATTTTAATTGCAAGTATGATTTTGATGATTTTAACACCTTACAATTGGTTATAATCTGCTGTTGTGCCTTTACCATTGTCCTTGGATGAATTATGGCTATGTGAAGTTTCATAATGGTGTGGCTTTGCTTATTGGATTGTTATTTTAATTGCCATTTTTAATTGTACTTTTATTGTATTTTTTAAACTCTGTAATCTGCCCAGGGAGTCTTATGGCTAATGGGTCAGGATAAAAATCTAATAAATAAATTATAAGTAATTATGTCATTGGGCATCCATTCAGCAGAGAGAGACAATTGTTTCAAGCAACATGACCTGAAATATTTTTATGACTGGTATAATCATAATCAAGTAATGAGAAAATAAAACATCATAAATCACATTATAATGATCCTCATATTACATTTATATCCCACCTTTTTACCTCTTGCTAGCAAGTTATATACTCTTCCTCTCCTTTTTATCCTCACAACAAAAGGTAGGTTTGGCTGAGAGTGACTGACCCAGTCATACAGTGAGAAGTGGGGAAATCTCCTGGCATTACTGTGCCAGCCAGCATGCTACAAGTTGTAGAACATTTTTCTGTCTAAGGATGGATTAGATTTTGCCCTTAGCTAGTTAAAAATACTCATGTTCAGTAAAGAGAGTTTGCTGTTGAACTGAGAATAAGAGAAACAAAACTGTCAAATTGGTGGGTTAATGACTTCTCAATTTCTACTCTCATAGAGCCAGAATGTGGGCTGACTTTAAGATGCGATCCTATACCCAACCTTACCTGAGAGTAAATGGGCTTCTATAGAATTACCTTGTTATATGATCTTGTGTTCTGTTAACTAAATAGCTCAAGAACCCTCACTAATTAAGTCATAATTATCTCCTTAAGTCTTAATTATGCCTTAAGTGCTCTTTTGTTTATGAACATAAAATGCTTTACTGGATCAGATAAAAGTCTTCTCTACCCCAGCATTCTTTGCTAAAATCACAGACACTGGTTGAGCAGAATTTCAGCAGTATTAGCAGTTAATAACTTTCCAACCTTGGCAGAGAGGTATGTAAAATTTCACAGAGATTGAAGTTTTCTGAGCCTTACATTGGTTTGCAATTCCCTAACAATAAATGGTCTTTTTTACGTGTGAAATTTTAATGAAACAAATACCTGAAATTTAAATGATTACCCACCTTCAGTGCACAGTCAGAAATGTTGCGATGCTATCAAAGCACACCTAGGTGATTTATTATTCACCTTGTATGAATTATACCATGTCCAAGCAACCTGTTGTATCCCCCAAATCTTACATAAATAAATGATGAAATCTGGAACGAAAACATTTGTTGCGTATTATTATTCCAGTTTATTATTATTATTATTCCATTATTTTATTGTGAATTGTAGAAACACAGGCTTATGTTCTTAGGCTGGCTAATTTTGAGAAAATAATGTGCTAAATAAAAAATCCTCTGTAACAGAGTAATTGAAGCAATAATATCCCATTTCCATATATTTATGTATGCATGTTGAATGTTGCTTAGATGTTGTTGATATTAAACTCAGCTCACATTACTTCTTTTCCTGTGGATAAAGCTAGCAAACTGTGAGCTTGTATTATGGATTGTAAGAATAACATTAAAAACGCCTCAAACCATTTGCAACTTTTAATGGAATGGTTAGTATTTATATTTTAAAACAATGTAAGGTCAAGTTGGGAAAAATTGTCATAACTTTTAGGTACTCGTTTAATTCATTATATTCCTATACTAATTCTGAAGCTATCTGACATATACAAGTGTGTTGCTATCCTGCCACAATGAAGTTTATATAAATTTGATGAATTTGTTGAACATTTGCATTCAAGTTTAAAGAAATGCATGTTTTCTGTGGAAAAGAATGATGGAGCTGTATTCCAACAACATCTGGAAGGCCACAGTCAAAAACAAGCCTCCATCCCTGCTTTAGGCCCTTTCTGTGGGTTCTAGACAAGGAGTTAGATGGAACACATACCTAGTTTTACAAAGAAGAATGTTGACAGGTAGATGCGAGACAGCAGGTGATGCATCCTTATTAATGGGGATTGCTGAAGATAAAATCCCAGTCCTTTTGGTAGGATCTTTGGTAATTTTTTCAGTTCCTTAAAGGTATCCCCTTGCTGTAAATTGAAATCCTCCAGTGCTCTGCATGATAATAGCGGCACAGTTTTGAAAACTGCAAGTTGTTACTGTAAATGTGCTGGTACCTTCTAATGTATGACAGTTACAGTGAATTTTTAAAAATATAAATATTAAGAATGTATGCACAGGGTGGTACGCAGATTTTATATAAACCTGCACAACTGCCTCCTCCCTTCTCGGCCTTAGGAATCTAAACATGGAGACCAGAAGCCCTTGGAAAAACAGGAGGCATCTCCCATTCATCCACAGGACCCCAAAAGTTAGCCTGGGGTTCCTGCTTTGCTAACAAATCAGGCACAGCAGGAAACCTGATAAACCGCTTCCCTGCTCTTCCCACAGCAATCCTCCCAGTTATCCCAGGGGATGCTGCAAGAAGCAGTATGGTATAGTGGCTAAGTTTGCAGGACTGGGACTCAGTATTTTGAAGATAAGCTGTCTTGAAGTGCATCACTGACCATAATGCCAGTTCACTGCATGTCCCAGATCAGACACAAGGCAGGTTGCTTTTTTCTAGACCTTGTCATCAAAAGGAAGGACAACACAGGAACCCACATTAAAGGTTGAGTATGGGTTGACAGTGGGTTGCTGTTGAACAGCAGGGTGTTCCTGGAATTTGGGCTTTTGTGTTATCTGAAGCCAGCTACAAACCATAGTGCACAACCTAAAGGTTGCAACCCAGCAACAAACCATGGGATCAGCCCAAGTCTTATTGGTGGTTAATAAGCCATGACTTGTTAGTGCAGCTGTGTTCAGTGAACACAGCAATAACTCAACAGTCCAAGAAGAGCCCATGCTTACCCCATGTTGAAGTCTTGAGTGTGGATTACTGGGTTGTCTGAACCCAGTCAATATGTTGCTTGTTTCTGTCCGTGGCGTTAATGTCCATAACCTGGAGAACAGTCTAATGCACAATCTTAAGGCTTCCCAACAGTGTTGTGGTGAGGGGGACTAGGATCCTTTGGAGTTCTAGGCCTGAGGTCCTTTGATTCAGAGAGCCCAGCACTGGCTGAGCAACTGCCTCATCCCCTTGCAGGTGCAAGAACCAAGCTAGCTGTGTCTGAAGCATGGAAGTGCTTCTTGGAAAGGGGAAAGGAGTGTGTAAGAGGGTGAGGAGGGGAGGGGGTTGGGGCCTTCTATGTATACCAGTTCCTATCAGCACCCCAGCCTCCTACCCTCCTCCTCTCTGCTGCTTTATCCAGACTGCTACCACCATGTCTTGCTCTAGCCATTGGATACACATAAGCCTCAGTGTTTGAAGAAGTGCATGCATCTAGGGCAGGGGTAAAAGCACAGCACCCTTAACAATCTATTTCAGTCTGGGAGGCCATTCCTCTGTGAAACCAGTAGGCTAATCCTTACCAGTGGAAGAAATGCCCAGCATCTTATTCACAACCTATATCCAGCGCTCCCTGGAGCTACTCTGCTGTTTTCCTACAAAATATATCATGGGCTTTTGGAATACCCTAGATCCACATCTAAGTCTGACATTCCATGAGTTCCTCACTTTGCACCTAGCAATGCAGGAACAGCAAAATTTGGACCATTATTTTAATCCTGACAATAAAATCATCTTCTACTTTTTGTTACAGTGTAGAAATAACCACAAGTCTGCTTTCTTGATGGTCCAAGTGGAGCAATATTTGCAAACACTGATCTCTGTTGTGAATAAAGGATAACTGCTACTGCTTTATGGTAGCAATAATTTCCGTCTTATCCATCTCAGAAGTACATAAGAACATAAAAAGCAATGCTGGATCAAACCAAAGGCCCATCTAGTCCAGTGCTCTGTACACATGGTGACAAACCAGCTGCCTGCAGGATTGCTAAGCAGGATGGGTGCAAGATTTCCACCTGGCCAAGCACCTCAGCAACTGGTGTATGCAGGCAAGCCACCTCTGGAAAAGGAGGGAGCACATAGCCAGAAGGCTAGCAGCCACTGATAGCCTCCTTCGTCATGAATCTGTTCCATTTCCTTTTAAAGCCATGTCTGCAAGTTCTATCGGTTATCTGTGTGAAGATGTATGTCCTTTTAACTGTCCTAAACCTCCTACCAATCAGCTTCATGGGTTGACCCTGTGTTTGAGTGTTATGGGAGAAAAATGGAGACAAATGTCTCTCTCTCTACTTTCTCCATACAATACATTATTTTAAACATTTCTATCAAGTTTCCCCTTACTCGCCTTTTTCTGAGCTGAACAGTCCTAGTTGCAGCTGCTGCTGCTGCAGCCCCCTGATCATTTTTGTTGCCCTTCTCTCTAGCTTTTTCAACTCAATAAAGTCCTTTTTCAGGTACGGCAACCAGAACTAAGCACAAAATTCCAAGTTTGGTCGCACCAGAATTTGTATAAGGGGAGTATGATTTCGGCAGTTCTATTTTCTGTTCCGTTCCTAATTATTCCTAACATTTAGTTAGCAGCTGCACAGTATCCCTCCCACCAGATTCAAGCTACAATGTTAGGTAACAGATGTCCTCAGTGCTTATTTAGTTACATCTGAAGCTGGAGAACTTAAGAAACAAGACAAGGTTCTATTACTTTAGATGGATTACATTTAGTTTCCAGATCAGGAAAAGCTAACAGAGCCAAGAATGGTGTTTCCAATTCTATGTTCTGTCTAAAAAGCAAAACATAGTGCAGAGATATAAGGGGAATTTAGATTAAAATATTGTTACAGTGGTCGAGAACTAAAAACATACTTTGGGTTTGTTAATGGTTTCTACTTGTTAAATAAATAACTGATCCACTGGTTTCTTTTAGGGAGTGCTTGTGGATAAAGACTGCTTTATGCTTTATACTGAGACTCAGACACTTCATCCATCTAGCCCAGTACTGAGGACACTGACTGGCAGCAGCTCTCCAGAGTTGCAGGCTGGAGTTTTTCAAGTGCTGCCTCCAGGATCTGCTTCATTCAAAGTGGTTGCTTTACCACTAACCTACAGATCTTTTCCAGAGGATTGTCCCAGTGGCCTAGGTGATAGTTGTAACCAGGAGTCCTTTGGCTCAACTTCAGCTTGCACACTAATTGTGTTCATCTATGGATCATGTATATCTGGCCACTGTCACTCATGCTGTGGTTATCTTCATACTAGGCTGCTGCAAGGTGCATTACTTAGGGCTGCCTTAAAGAGTGTTTGAAAACTCCAGCAAGTATAAATTACAACAGCCAGAGTAGTACTCACCATGTTTAAAATAATTTTTAATAAAGAGTTTGGTTTTGCACAGGCCAGAAGACGATTGAGTCAAATTAAACACGGGATCAAGACTTTCTGAAAGCTTTTCTTTGTTAGCATGACTGCAAGAGCTCTTGAAATTTGCCACCTGTATTTAACAGTCATACTCTTCTACAACTGGGAGAAGGAAAGATGAGGAAACCATAAAGTAGCTAATATTTGGCACAATCTTGCTAAGTAAGCAATTTTAAGTACCACTGAGTTTGGTGGGGAGACTTGTGAAGACATTTAATTCTCTCGTGTAAACAAACAGGACTTAAAATCCACTTAACTTTGGCTGGGCCATGTCTAACATCCCTTTTAAAAAAGTAGAATTATGCCCTGAATAGACTTACTAAGTTTCTAGACATCATCTTGAAGTTAAAAGGGGATACCAAATATGAAAAGGCAAACAAGAGACAAGTTACAGGAAAGGTCTCCCTTTGCTTAAACTGTAACCACCAAGTATCTCAAATTAAATTTTTAGAAGTATGAACACTTGCCAGCCTGTGTACATTTCTTCTTGTTTAGTCTGTTGTTGGAATGATACCATCCTAATGCAATGGAGTATAACACTACCAGTTACATTTTCTGATTTATATTTAGGCCAAATGTAGAAATATTTTGCGTTTCCCCCCTCAGTTAATAGTGAGTGATCTGCCTTTGTCACTGAGCAAAGAGTTTATCTGGAACATCTTTTTGGATGAGACTAGTATGAATGCCTTGTCTTCCTAATAAGAAGCCATGGAGGCCAGGGAGCCTTGTGGCTAATGGGGTGGGCTACAAATCACATAGAATCACATCACCAAATGGGATTGCCTCCAGTGTGCTGGCTGTCTCCACTGATTTATCAGTTGTTAAAGTGTCACAGTTAGTATCTTAGCACATGTCAGTAGAGATCTGTGTTGCTTTGCTTTCTCAAGTTTTGAATATGCTTTTGCAGAACCTCTAC